AAAAAATCGGCTAATTCCCTAGCTGATGGTTTAGCTAAACAAGGGGCAGAAAAGGATTCAATGTTTTGGGCTAAGCTGTAACTTTAGTGTCTTCTTTTCTCTTTTTTTCTTCTTTTTTTTCCTTTCATGAGGCTCTTTGTGGCTCTTGGAAGATAAGTGTGTTTGTCTTCCTCCTGTAAATTTTCTACTGATGATTTAATGAAAGTGTTATTGATCAAAAAAAAAAAAGACGATGGTAGACGGATTTTACTGTCTACCTAAGGAGCCAACATTGTCACATGCTCCTTTAATTGTCACACGCCCCCCTCACCCTTGGGTCTTTTAAGCATAGCCCACTTAACTTTTCGGGCTTACTGGGCCCAAAATTACGATTTAGAGATGGGCCTGCTAGTTGGACTCCCGTGGATATTCCTGAGGCTACCAATACCTCTGCCCTTCCTTCATTTGAATCATTCAAAATATTTTGTTTGGCGCCAGAAGCAGCCTTGTGTCACACGTCTCCCAATAGTCTGCCCTTTTCAAAATACCTCTGCCCTTCCTTCTATTGGTTGTCAAACCTTTACCTTGTGTCACACGTCTCCCAATAGTCTCCTGACCCAAATCTTTTGGACTGCCTAAAGGTAGAGTTTCCATTACCTTGTGTCACACTTGAATTTCCTCTTTTCATTACTGTAATTCCAAAGTCTAAGACTATCCTCTTTCAGCCAGTTTACCACCACTTTAGAATCTCCTTCTATGATCAACTTGTTAATATGCATATCCTTGATGCTTTGTACCCCTTCAAGAGCTGCAAGAATCTCAGCTCTCAAAGAATCTCCCACCCCAACTGGTCCAGAATGCATAGCTAACAAATTGCCTTGTTCATCTCTTATTACTCCACCTATTCCAGATGGCCCTGGATTGCCCAAGCTGCTGCCATCAAAGTTCAGTTTAACAAAGTCATGGAGTAGGGGGATCCAACAAACATTTGAGGCCTTCCTCATTGGAACAAGTTCTACTATCTCCTTCCACTTTCTTTGCAGCTCATCAATTGAGAATTCTGCAAACATAGCCAAGGTTTTTAGCCAGTGTATAACCCTAATATGGATGACCTCCAGCATTGCTTCCAAACTTCTCTCCTTATCTGTAAATATTCGTGAATTTCTCTCCTCCCAAATAGTCCAACAGACTGCAGCCCTCATACACCTCCACATAAACTTGGCCTTTTTTGTTGGCCGAAACGGCATAAATGTGAAAAGGCTTTGCACATTCGAAGGGGGGGGGGGGGTCCACCTGCACCCAAACAAAGAAGTACACCACTCCCAAATGATGTTAGTGAACCGACAGGAGATTAGTAAGTGATATCCAAATTCACCGTCAGCTTTACAGAGGACACACCAGTGAGAACAAAAACAACTATTGGGTCTTTTTCTTTGAAGTAAATCTTCTGTGTTAACTCTTTCCAAAAAGGCTTCCCAATAGAAGCTCCCAACCTTAGGAGGTATAGGATGACACCACACCTCTTTAATAGGGAAAGACAAGCCAGAAGAAGAAGAATGTGTGAGAGCACTAAAGAAAGAGGCACAAGTGAAAGAACCAGAGGGGGTGAGAGTCCAAATTCTACTATCTGCCTTTGTTGGTTCTAGGAACACCCCTTCAAGAATGGATAACAGTGATGAGATACCACCAAGCTCTGTATCCCTGATATATCTTCGCAGGCCCAAGTTCCAGCTGACCCCAGAAATAGAATTAGAAGGAACAATGAATGAAGACACCGGTTCATTTTTAAAAGTGGAAAGGGCAAAAAGGCTTGGGAATTGGTCTTTTAGGGTGGAGTCCCCAATCCAAACATATTTCCAAAAATTAATGAGATTGCCTGAGTGCAAGTCATACCTGATCCATGGAGCTTCCCACACCCCCTTTCACTATGCTGTCACTAGTCAAGTTAGCTCTATATCCAGTTGAACGAGGGGTTTAATTTAGAACTAAAGGACTACTCTCTAAGGCTCTCTAGATCTCTCCTTCATCTAATCGTTGACAATCTGAGAGTATCCCTCAAGAACCTGGAGGAGAGATAATAACTATCAAACTGAATCCTCTAATGCCACTAGCCTAGAACATGCAAGGATGATCACACTCCATTGGTGTGTCTCTAAGTATAAATGCAATACTTGAAGGTCCTGCACACCCCAGGGAACAACCATCAAAATAACTTGATGGCAGCTCTATATGAGAAACCCACTCTTTATCAATCACATCTGAGAGGAGCAAACCTCATTGTCCCAATTCCTAACCATCATGTCCACCTTTTTTTTTTGGTAAACAACCATCATGCCCACTGTAATGCCTCTAAAGGTCTCCAAAATCAGGACCCAAGGAATAACCTGAACAGTAATTCTCTCCTTTGCAACCTGAACTGACTTTTCTTGATCCTGAAAGTCATTGCATTTCTTTCTTCCAATACTCCTTGAGAGTTGAGACCCTGACCACTCCATGCAATAGTGCTCTCCACAAAAACTTCCCCTCAAGATTTCACATGGTGGCTATGTCATTCCCCAAGTACATTCTGGGTTTAAACTTTAAAGGTTTTGGATATTAAAGAGCTAAAAGAAATGGTCCTAGACCTTAGTCACAAAATAATGGTGTGCTCAGCCTTCTAAATCACTTCTCAACGTGGGCTTCTTTAATCCTTACCTTCAAAGATTCAAAATACATTGTTAGGTTGCAGGTTCATATGACCAATAGAAGCACCATGATTTGCAACATCTGTAAGAACCTGGCATCATGTTAAAATTGAACTTACCAAATAACCTATTGGGGCTATTCAACCAAGAATGAACCAGAGGTAAGAACAGTCAACCCATGAGAAGCACATGTTGCATTATGTTAAAATTAATGAGAAAATTGTTGGAAATATTCAAAGTTAATTACGAATGCTATACAACTTTTAATTCTTTTGTTTACAAAAGATAATTACGTAATCCAGTTTGTGACACTTATAACATGAATTAGAATTAAAGCGTGATACTAAATACTTCACCACTAGATCAAATTTTACAACTAGTTATTGAGATGTGAAAAGAGCATCAGTATCCTCAAATTGGATTAATATCTTAATGAGGTAAAGCTCATTTTAAAGGCTAGATACTGATTCTTAATTGATAATTTACTGGAACTATGCTGTGATCACCAAGCAGGTAAGCTTTAAAAGGAGAGAAAAACGAGAGCAAAGCAAAAAGAAAAGGACCCAAACGACAATTATTCCCAGACCAAAAATACCACAGAATTTAGAAAATGTAGACTAAAAAACCCGGAAAAAAATAACTTAGAAACACCAATACTAGAACATAGGGTTGAATTCCAAGACATTAAAACGGTCTGAAAGACTGAAACTAATTATAAAGTTATTCTTATAAAAAAATTGTAATGTTATTAAATGAATTCATGATTAACAGAAATGAAGCATATAATAAATATTTTCTGTTGAGATGGGAAATTTTCATTTTTTGGAAAAATAAATGAAACCCAAAAAGAAATTTAACCATGAAGTCAGTTATAGTAATCAGACATAACATTATACACACAGAAATGGTGAGATTACAACAGCACATGCTTTGAAGAATCACAGTCTCTCTACAAGTAGAAATAGACAAAACAAACAGCAGAGTGATGAAAGCTTGAAATTAGACCTGAACATGGAACAAAGTGAAGATCCTCGCGAGTGGGTTTGGGCGAGTGAATTCGAGGATTTCAGCGACTGTGTTTGGACGAGTTGTGCGGAAAAAGAGATCCTCGATCGTTGATGGTTGGCCAGGTTAGGGTTTAGAGAAGAGATTGCCCCACTCGATTCTTCACTCGCCGACCACTTACCACTGATTAGTTGTCAATGGATCGGGTCGGGTTTATAACAGTCCCGAACCGATTATTAATCGGGAGATTCGGAACAAAATCATAAACGCAGAACCGTCCCTAACCGGATTAAACCCGATTTTACTATATCATAGTCGAACCCTTATTTATTATATACTAGCGAAGTAACCCGTGCTCGGTCCAACTTCATCTAAATTTGTAAGAAAAATAAATCCATTAATCAAATATATGATTTTGTTGTAGAAAAAAATGGGACGAATTAATTTGAAAAAACGAAATTCAATTAATAGGCACTAAATTAGGATTTCTAAAGTTCATGAGAAGAGAAACAAAACTCTATCAAATTTCATGACGTAAACAAATGTGGGCACTAAATTAGTGTTTTCTCTGTAATTTTGCTTTCAGTCTTGTAGCTTCTCCCTGTGATCTCTCAGGCGGATTTCCTTACTACTCAGCATGTATAAAAATCAAAAAATGTGCATCTTTCTCTCATTTCCTTCTTGTGATTCGAAGAGCTGCATGCATTGTTTGCTTCACTCGCCTTCCCTATACTCTCATGCTATAACGAAACCCAAAGACATTAAAATCAGTTGCTTTTTCTACTGAAGAATATAGGTTTTATGTCTGATCTGATGAGTGATAGATGATGACTCTGGCAGCTACACACCGGCTGCATATTATGACCCCCACGTAGCACTATTTCTATTTTTCCTTTCTCTGATAATTTTCGGAGCTTTCTAAGGTCTACCTCCTCTCTCTCTCTCTCTCTCTCTCTCTCTCTGTAAAATCTAACCTACATACATTCATTTGTATATTCTCAGTTTCTCACTTCTCAGTAGTAGTACAGGCCACGGAGTTACATGCAGACATTATTATTTAGATTCAAGGCCAGAGAATGGGGTTAGTCTTACTTGCGGGAAGCTCACATTAATTGTAGACATTATTATTTAGATTTAATTAAGGCCATAGAAGAGAAGGAGCCCAGCAATACCAGAGTGGCCGTGACAGTGAAGCGGCAAGCGTAGCTAGCCGAGCCGTCGTGGATGCTAACAACGTGAACCATGCCATCACCATCGAAGAAATGGTGACCGAAAGTAAAACAAAAACAAAACACACAAGACGCGATAACAGATCTTGCCTGGGTGGATTTTGGCCCTGAGATACAATTCTATGCAGGGGAGTTTCGATTGATATCAGATTACCTCCTCGAGCAGCAATAGTGGTCGGGGGTTATGTCTAAGATGTTGATGAAAGGGGAGCTAATTCTGATGTGATCTTCACCTGAACTTGAGAGGGATACTTCTGATAGATCTCACTATGGTTGGCTCGTGAGAAACCACCAAAACTCCGATTGGAAATGAGGGTGCCGCGCCGCCGCTGTTCGGGTGTCACGAGGTTAGGGAAGATGAACAGTGGCTAAACGATAGATGGAGGGGAGAATGGAAAAGAGAAAAAAGAAAAAAAAAAAAAAAGAGAGAGAAGAAAAACGGAGTGGAACCAGAGGTGGAGAATGACTTTGGTGCCGCCGCTCTGCGTTCTATTGAGGAAGAAGACGAACAATGTATCAGTGCGAAGAAAAGATGCCTGCGCCGGTGGGATGGGCAGAGAGGTTTTGTTCGGATGTTGTTCACACGCGAATAAAGATTTCACGTGCGGATGCCTTATCCTGCTGGAAGAGATTTACGCACGAGAAGAAAAAATTCACGTGCGGATACCTTATCCTGTGTATCCTGTGGGAAGGAAGGGCCCCGTCGTGAAGGGATCTGCTCTTCACAAATGGGCGCCTCACAGGCACATCCACCATGCATTGGCATCTCCTGTGAATAATAACCAATAAGTATGGGAGAAGTTCCCAATGCATGATAGGATGTGTGTGTGAGGCGCCAGGTGTGAGGAGCAGACCCGGTCTCCTTCCTGCCTTAGTATATATAATATATATAAAGTGATTAGGTCCCATGTCACCAGCCTTCTTCTCTTATTTCCCCTTCTCTCTTCTTTCTTTAAACCTTTCTCCTTTCTCCTTTACCCCTTTCTAGTTTTCTCATTCACTCTCTTTCTTCTTCTTCCCTACCCAACCCAACCCACCCATTTAGTCACATGGCAAGGGAGTTAGTAATCAACTAAAGAAAGAGAGAATTGGTTTTTTATAATATCAATCCAAGTGGCAGCACTATCCCCCACATTCCCCTATAATCTTTAATTCCTATTTATCTCTAAAATTGTCTCTAAATAGGTAAAGAGTTTCTCTCCAAAATAATCTCAAATTCCAATTTATCTTTTCCCACTTTTGATCTATATCTATCTAAAGAAAGTTTGAATTAAAAAATTTAAGAATTATTTAAATATAATAATGAAATTATGTAATAACTTTAAAATATTTATTATAAACAGAAAAATAATATTTTTATTGATTACTCAATTCAATAACTAAATAATATTTTAAAAATTTAAATGACAACATTATTTAAACAGTATTCACATAATAAATATTTAAAACTAAAAAAATAATATTATTTAAATAATTCAATAACTAAATAGTTTAAATAAAAATAATAAAAATAGCTAAATAATTATATAACATAATATTGAATATTAACTTTAAAATAAATAAAATTTAAATATTTTACATACTATTTAAATATTTAAATAACTAAATATTTTAAACAAAAAAATATTTAACATAAATAAATTTTAAAAAGTTAAAATAACGAAATTATGTAATAAGTTTAAAAAATATCTTGCAAGTATAAAAGTAATTATAGTAGATTTCATAATATTTGAATTAATAATACAACAAAATTATATAATAATAGTATATATTGTTCTTTTACAAATTATTAAATTCAATAAATAATTAATGTTATAGAAATACAAATAATGGCATTATTTGAATAACTAAATAATATTGTAAATAACTAATTTTTAAATATGTTAAATATAAAATAATTAACAACTAAATCATATTTTGAATATTAATTAAAAATAGATTCAATAAGGAAGTTATGTAATAACTTTAAAAAAATAATATTTATTAATAATAATTTGAAAATATTTATCTATATTTATTATATATTTGCATATACTAAAATTAGTATTTAGTGTATTTTCAATAATTATTTGTTGTATTTGTGATAAATGTATTTTAACAATTATGTATAAATTTATTTTTGTTTTGTTATTTAACAAGAAATTTTCAATAATTATTGGAGATTAAAATATTATTATTTAACTTTTTAATTTAATTTATTATACTTATTAGATTCATTATATTTTTGTTATAATTTATTGATTTATATTTATTAGAGATTAAACTATTATTGGATATTACACTATTTATTGATTAATTTAATATACTTTTAGTATTTATTGTGTTTTTGTAATTATTATATTCATTGTATATTTATTAGTTATTTGTTGTATTGTCATTATAAATTTATTTTCAAAAATTGTGTATTTTCGCTATAAATTCTCAATAATTATTGGAGATTAAACTATTGCTATTTATTAGAGACTAAACTATTAATTTAGCTAAAATTAGGAGTGTTCATGGGTCATCTCGATTTGGTTGAAAATTGTTTGGGCAACTAAACCAACTTGGTTGGGTTGGGGAGTTGGTCACCCGAAACTAGATGTTCATGGGCCAGGTAGCCCAATGGGCTGGCCTAGCTTGGCCCATTCTAAATCGGTCTTTGACAACATTTTAAGCCCACATGCTTAGGCTCGAGCTTTAAACATCGAGCCTAACTATTTTCCGAGTAAAGTTCAGGCTTTCCCAAATAAGCCCAACCCAATAATATTATATATAGTAAAAAACATAATATGTTAATAATACAAAAAATATATATTATATAATAATGAAATTAGTATTGAAAAGGGTATTATATATTATAATATATAGAGTATTATAAAATATATAACACATTATTAATAATGTATAATTAATATAATATAAAATATTTGTCTGGACTGGGCTTTAAGCTTGGGCTCAAGATCTAGGTCTAATGGTTGGGCCAACTCAGGTTATTACTGAAACCAACCAACCATTAGTAAAAATTGGCCAACTCGAGTTGTATCAATTTGGTCAATCGATTCAAAAGGTTTAAACTTAATAATGATTTTTAAATTTAAAAATTATAGCAGTATTATTAAAAAATAAATAAATAATTTAAATTTATAATATAAAATGTTTAGTTGGTTTACAAATGTCCAAACCAAAACTGACCCGACTAGTAAAAAATTATAGCAGTATTATTAAAAAATAAATAAATTAATTAAATTTATAATATAAAATGTTTAGTTGGTTTACAAATGTCCAAACCAAAACTGACCCGACCTGGCGACTTAGTCGGGTTGGGAATTTGCTAAACCAAAGTTGATACGAAAATATTAGAAAACCAACCAACTCAAGTCAAGTTAGGTCGAGTTGGTTGGTTTCATCAGTTTGATGAACCATCCTAGTTGAAATTAATTATTGTTATTTTTGTATTGTAAAAATATTATTAATTATTATAAAATATAAATAATTATTAATTATTGTAAAATATAAATAATTATTAATTATTTTAAAAAATCAAAATATAAAACAATCATATACTCTTATGTATTTGCATTGTTTAGCTTTTCACTTAACAAATCCCGTGCATCGCACAGTCCCCACAAGTATACACACACACATTCCCCATAATATATATATATATATATATATATATATATATATATCTAAAATCCCCCCCAACACACACACACACACATTCCCAATAACCTAAATAATCTCATTTCCCAAAATTTCACCTAAACTACCTTCCCCACTATCCCTCACTTTCTCCTAATTTATCTCTAAATCCTATTTATATTCTAAAGTATCTTTATTTCGGATTTACCTCCTAAATTATCTCTAATTCCTATTTATCCTCTTCCCCACTTTTTACCTATGTCTATCTAAAGAAAGTTTGAATTAAAAAATTTAAGAATTACTTA